TAACCAACCTTTTAGGTTATTTTAATATTTTGTGTCCCCTTTACCCCAATGGATTTAAAATGAAATTTAGTAGATTGCATATCCATTATGATAATTTTAAAGGTTTTGTTTTTACTTTCTAATTTATAATAGTCGTTTCTTTATTTTAATGCAATTTGCATTTCTTCAAAAAAAAAAAACTCTGGAATGATGCTTGGAAACATGCTTAACCACATAATTTTAAATTGCTATAACTGCGTTTTAACTTGTTACATTGTCACACCCCAATTTGGCCTACCCCTTAATGGTCAATCTTGAGTATAACAGAGAAAGAAAATCTAAATCGATTCCATACTAACCCCAATTCTGAGTCAATACTTTCAGAATGGAGTGAGTAAAAGAGATCTATTTAGATTCTCCTAACTTACCAACCTATCTAATTTTATAATTAATAATGGGAAGCATATAATGTTTCTTAATGAACATCAAATATAATAGAAGTAAATACAAAACTATACTAAAATTTTTAATTTTCATTCACATACCCAACAAGGCTGTACATTTAGCATTCAGATTTTTTTTAGATCTCTTTGCACACCCAAAACATATATACACCAAAAGAACAGTCACTTCTTTTTATTGTCCCAAGGGCTCCTTCACCTTTTTTGCATTACAATCACTGCTAATGAGCTAGGTACAAAGAAATACACACAAGCAATTTATAAGAAATAATAATAAACAAATAAGAAATGCTTAACAATGTTAACATAGTTAAAACACATTAAAAAGCCATATTGAGCCTATAAATGCTTAGCTTAGTAGTATTATTCATCTTATCAAAACTGTTTAACATTCCTAAATAAGTCATATAATGGTTATAAGCTTTTGCACCTTTTTAACGTTCCAATTTGAGGTTGGGTCTAACTTCCCAACTTTTTAAGTTGGAAGTTATTCTTTCATTCAGGATTGAGTCAAATTTTTCAACTTTTAGAATTGAGAGTGTAGGCATACCTCATTGGGTCTTTCGCCTTTATTTTGTGCGGGCCTATTCCCCATATATAACTTATTTCACTTTTCATATAGTCATCCTTTTTATCCCTAATGACATATGTTTTTGATGACATAGTTGTGTTTTAGCTGCTCTTCAGCTGCCCTTTAAGTGACCTTTAGTTGCAATTTAGGTGCCCTTTAGTTGCGCTTTAGTTGCGCTTTAGTTGCGCTTCAACTGCGCTTCAATTGCGCTTTAGTTGCGCTTTTTGCTCATTCACTAGTTTATGAATATTTACCCTTTTATGCTTACAAAATCATTAACATTAATAAAGATTGCTCTCAACATAACAATTCTTTACATATTCGACCATGTTCATACAAAATAGTTAAAATAAACTGAAATACATGTGGTCATAAGAAAAATAAAATCAAGATGAAGTGCAATAATAAAACATTTACTAAGTCTTATAACCTTGTTTGGGTATCTCACCTCGCTAGGAATTTGTTCTCCTAGACTTTGTCTTCCTTATCTCTTGTATACAAGCTCAACTGTACTCTTTTTCATTCCATTAAATCCTTATCTTGATGACTTAATCAAAACTTGATGCAAGCATACTAGTTAGAAATACCAAAATAAGAGAACAATGGACAGAACTTAACCAGACTTGATTCAAAATGTTGCAATCATCTATAACATCCAAAATTCGACGAAGAAAACTAAAAGAGAATTCAAAGAAACAAAGAAATTAAAAACAAGCTATCCTCAGACAACCTTCATAGCGGGTTCCTCACATGCATCGAAATGTAGGTTAAGTAAAATAAGTGCTTTAGGGCTAGAAAACCGATGGTCCACCTGTCACGACCCGGCTCGGTGAGCTCGCGTAGGCGAGGCGGGAATAGAGGTCGGACGGTAGGTTAAATTACCTAATGTCTAACTATATCTCCATAATAATTGAAAGAGCCTCTAAAACATCAAATTGAAAACACATAAACATAAAAATCAGGCATAACCATAAAATTACCTTTCCTCAGACGCTTCTCTTCTACGGTATACATTGCCACCCCCTCTACTCATTTTGATTTGCCTACACTTATCTGAAAATGTTAACAACTAATATTAAGCTAAAGCTAAGTATGTAATACACAATTCATAACTACATCAATCAAAATAAACTAAACAATATGCTAAATGCAAATTTCATATGAACATAACATAAAAATGATTTCATACTAACATAACATTAAATATATCATATCATAAATCATATCTTTTATTTTCCTTTTCATATTCATATCATTATACATAGCTTTCTCATTTCGTATATAATACAACCATCACAGGAGCCACTGTCTAGTACCATAAAGGTACTCATTTACCATTTTTATTTTTCATATTCTTTACTATTTTAATGTGCACGAGTACAGCGTTCCCAGCTAGTACCATCAGGGGGTGAGCTCCATCATTTCAGCATGTACATACAAGTATTCAAATAACATTCATACCATATCATATCTTTTCATTCTATATAACATATAAATTCTATAATATTATGCCATAAAATATACATGAAAATTTCATGATCAATTATTTGATGAGAGTTAAGAGCATGATTGGTTTATCAAATCATATAAGTGAGAAACAAGATAAATTACTGCAATTAAAGAATTATGCATACTTACAGAAGTTTGGAATCTGATTTCTCTTGCTAGTCCTTCTTCCTTCGATGCCACCACAATTAATCACCTAATAAGAATCAATTTCTCATTCTTAAAATCTACAAAATAATTTAAAACAAAATCTTTTTTTTCTAAACTATTCTAGATTCTCTCTCTTTCCCTTGCTCTCTCTCTCTCTCTCCCAATTAAAGCTTAACACATACATATATTCTAAAAATTCAATAGTTTGTATAATTATATATATATTAATGAAAATAACACTTTACCCAAAACCTAAATTAATTTAAAATAAGTTGTATTTTCGGACCACTGCACGATCAATCCAAACTCTTCCAGCAAATGCTCCCAAATCAGCCAACAAACACACCAAATCTCAAGAAGAAGGATACAGATGGAGTGGAACTTACGGAGAGACGAAAGAGGTTAGAAACCAAGACGAAGGGTGGAAAGAGCTCGCAAGATTTCCAGATGAAGGTGGAAGAAGAAGGTGGACAAAGCTCGCAAGCTTTTCCAATAACTCACAGGTCAATAGCAAAATGCTCTCAATATTCAACTAGTTTCCCTTCACAGAATATCTCATATATATAGGTAAGAAAGGAGAATGCCAACAGCCACTTTAATGAATTTCCACAAGAACCCAAGCATCTTAAGTCACGGAATTCCCCTTGCTTTTTTCACTAAAAAACAACCCAGTCAAAGAACCGAAGAGGCAGCCATGGAACCAAAGAGGCCCGCACAAAACTGAGGCGCCAAAAGACACGGAAAGGCCCCCTAGCTCGGAAAACCAGCAGCCAGTTGGAAAACCAAGGAGCAATGGCACATAATTCATCCAGCACAGGAAGCCCAAACACAGCCACGGATTCCCAAGAGACAAGGGAATATTTTAAAGAAGAAAGGGGAAGGAGAAGGGATAAGTCCACTCCAAAAATTGAATCCAACTTATGAGCTTACCTTTAGAACATTAATGAGCTACTAAACTTCAGCTCATCATTAATGAGCTAGCAACTAAGAAAATGAGCTCAACTCCAACCTTCTCCACACATCACCATAGGCCCCAAAACTATGGACCATAAGCCAACCCGTGAACTAGCAGTAGCCAAGGACCAATCGAGCCAGCAAACCAAAGGTCTACCAATCCCCAAGCACTAACTACCATGATCATTGAATGTTTTCCCATCATTGGATAGCTAAAAAAAGAAAAGAATTTAAAAAACATACTAATGTTCAATACAAAATAAAATACAGAATATTTGATAACATCAAATCTGCACTTCAAACAGCATAACACTAATTTTAGCAAGTAATTCAGCATTTAAACGGACTTCCAGAATTTCAACCGTAATGGTAACCATTTCTAATTTCCGTGTTCTCTGAAATTTACCTTAACAACAGCTTACAACAACCACCCCCCAAGCAGCAAATCCCGCTCCTTAACTTGCGACTTGAAAACTTCTAATGTTCCATGTCCAGAGAGGGACGGGTGGAATTGCTCAATAGAACAGACTTGTCATACTATTATTATTATATTGACATTTCTAACTCCAATAACCCTTCCATTCATTTTGAGCCATACGATCCCATCAGCTTTATGCATGTTGATTTAAGTGGAATTGCTCGTAACTCCACTAACTCTTCTATTCATTCCCAGCCATAGGATCCCATCAGCTTTATGCTTGCTAATTTAAGTGGAATTGCTACAATACAGTAAGTAATAAGGATTTATGCATTAAAGTTATGCTAATTAGATACTTTAACTAATACTCAATATTTAAGTTAACTTCTAATTAAATTATACTTAACAACTATACAATTAATCAAATAGTTAGGGTAAGAATTTTACTTGTATATGTCAACATGTTCGAATAAAAAAAAGAACTTTTATACTTACATTCATTTTGGATATTTTTGGGTATTATATACATGATCGCATTACCACAAAATCACCAGTCTCAAATAAAATGGACTTCGTATTAAAAATGTCTTATAATGTAATTGTAATGCCCTTCAGCTGTATAGTTGCTAATCCACATTGCATTGTCAGAAAGCTTAATTTTTGCCATCACTTGCTGTCTTCCTATCGGTTATTAATGTCTTCCAATGATGATTGTTTCTAGCAAATTATGTTTCTAATGATTTCTTCTTGGTATTTCAATTAAGAAAATTTGACGCATCAGTTCACCTATTTTTAGCAATCTATTTCATCATATAACTTTGTACAGCCTCCATGATGTTTTCTAAGTGTTTCCTTATGTTTTTTTTTTCTCTGTGAAAATCAGTCACATTGTACAGCCCATAGTTCTTACCTTCTTGATATTGAAATTCTTGTCAACCATAATCTTTTGTTTAACTTGCAGGAACACCAAGGATAAGAAGAGAAAACAAGTTTTACAGCTTCCTGATGGTTCTTACTGGGGTGATCCCATACTATTACTTCAAATATATGAAAGTTGGGATCGATCTGATTATGATCCAGATTGGTGCATTGAACAGAACTTGCAGGTATGCTGGTTGATGGTGTAGTGAAGAATTCTTTTTTCGAGTTCTTATTAGCTAATTGCCATCAAAATTTTCATCATTTTTCTAGCTATTAGTTCCATTATTGGGTAAAGATCACCCTGATGAAGTATTTAGGGCCATCTTTTATCTAAATATATCGTTGTGGATGGCCACGGTGTAGTGTTTAGTTAGCTCTTTTGTTACCTTGAACGTTGCGGCTTAAAGCACAAAATAGCCTGTCTCGTTAAAGTTGGGTTAGACTGTGTAAGTGAACTGAACTTTGTAATTGGTAGGCGTTGTTGCACTATGTATTGTTTTTTTATACATGTTCAGCCATTGAAAAGGTTTTCAGGCTAACATTACATCAAAGCATAGAGGTGCTTTCTCCCATAAAATCCTTATCATTATAAGAAAGAAAAGAAAATAGAGTTACGTAAAAAAAGTAATCAAATACGAGAAACAAAGAAAAAGAGGATCAATCATTCTAGAATGATCTGGAAGCTTCCCAGAAAATTTAAAGTTCTTATTTTCTCCGAGATTTGTCAAGCCTTATTATTGATAACGTAGGAGATGAATACAACATTTATCTTATTACCGTAGGTTAAGGAGTACAATATTTGTATGAGAAATGTAAGTCCATATTGTGGGCTAATAATTTGGAAAAAGTTAAGGAATAAAATCAGGGTATAACGATTATAATGGAAAAAAACCATGAATGAAATTAACAGTCATTTGTAACAAAATATGTAAAAAATGCTGGGAATAAATCTTTTCCATATGAGGATGTTAGGTGTCAGATATGGTAGCTGGTGGTGAGGCAACAAGGCAAAGTTCCAACTGACGAACAAATTCAAGTAGAGTAGCAAATGGCGGGCAGGTAGCTAGTAAACTTCAAGCTGGAGAACAGTTGTAGTTGGCGGTATTCCGGAAATGTTTGAAAGGATTAATAATCATGCAAGTCAGTTAGTGCGATCTATACAATTGATGGTACATTGATTACAGCTTTTAGAAGCTCTTCATGATTTTATGGAATGATTGTTGTTTATTTCAAGGTTTTCTATTTTGATTTCATGATTTTCATACACTACCTGAAGCCGAAAATATATGTTGATCATTCCAAACTTGAAAATAAGATTATTGAATTTCAATTGAATAACAACTTTAGTAAGGATATCAAGAATTAATTATTGCGGAGCATGCTTGATTGTCATCATCGATTATAATTTTCTTTTGTAGTGTAAATTTCTAAATCTTTGGCAAATCATGTGGCCATATACCCTTACAAACTCCATGGTCCATGACATTGATTCCTGCCTCAACACTCTTGGAGAAATAACATATTATTATTCTGTGGGCTCCGAAAATTCGGCCCCCCGCTCTTCTGTTTATTCGGCGAGGGAGTTTAAACTGATATAAGTTCCGAGGTAAATTTTGGAAGGCAGATGGGTTTGTAGGTAAGACACTACCCAGAGATTTCGCCCTCATTTTTGTGAGGACTTTATGATCTGAGTTCTGGTTTCCTATAGGCGCAAGCCCCTATAGTTAATTACCCCTCCCGATAACGAGAGAGAACTTTCAATTAAGGCTAGTCATCAATCAGATACGTAGAAATACGTATTATCTGGTATATAGTAGCAGCATGGGTATGAAATTTTGGAAATTTGAAATATTTGGGAATTTGAAAGTTTTGTATTTAAAATAGAAAATTTCACCATCTTGATTTTAAAGCGGATGGTGGGGGAGTGGATGTTAGACCCGATCAAGATCCCATGGTTCCGTTGTCCCGGGACATTGTGGTCCTTGGTCTACTTAGTCAGAGGAGGTAGTCGACCCAACTTGACAGAAGGATCCTTATCGGCAGCCATGAGTTGCTTCGTCCAAGGGGACCTTGTAGACCTGGGTTGGATATTTGCCTAAGGGGACAAATTTAAATCCACCTTAGCTAATAGAGGGCTTTATAACCTATCTCAAGGATTTGACGCCAATAAGGGGCCTTATTATATCCTATTGATTCATATCTCAAGGATTTGACACCAATAAGGGGTCTTATTATATCCTATTGATTCATATCTCAAGGATTTGACGCCAATAAGGAGCGTATTGACTCTGGCCATAATCAGTATATCGTGGTGTTATTTAGCGGCAAAACCACTCGGTTTAGAGGGCCCCGGGTCGTCATAATCGTTTATCCTGCGGTGCCATTTGGCGACAAACCGCCGGTCAGAGGACACGTACCACGTCCTTACTAGCAGGAGATTATTTGAGAATGGATCATAGTAATATTTTCAACTAGGCATTTGGCTATTTGTGAGCTGAAGTAAATTTTGATTTGTCCACCCCGGCAAACTGTTGCGGAGGGTGAATGGATTTTGCTTTGAGTGATTGATGGATTGATTTCAGATTTTAATTATCTGTACTTTGGGTTTTGTTGGATTTTGAATTGACTTTTGGGAGGCATTTGAAAATGTTTGTGAACCCCTCCGATTGAGATCTGCATTCAACACGGTCATCATCGGGGTGTTCGGGATCATTTCTCTTTTGTTGATTGAATCTTGTCAACTCTATCGAATTATCGATAGAGAATCATATTTCGTAGGCTTTATGCCCTTGATAGTGAATTCTCATTGTTATAGGCCTTGAAGGCCTAATATGAATGTATTAAGACAAATATGATGGTCGTCACAACCGTATATTTGTTTGTTGGTTTGAACCCTGTCGACTTCTATTGGCCCGTATAGATGGATCGGTTTCGAACTTGAATTCACTTGTCAGCCCGCACAGCATCCATAGACGTCACGTGTATACCAATAACATGCTCGTCGGGGCCCATGCGGGTTCTTGATTGTATACCCCCCTTTTTTAGTGTACCTATGTGTATACAAACTACGGTGCATGTGCTGGGGTTTTTTGAAATATTTGTAAACGCCTTCTGTCCGTTTGTATAAAAGTTGCGGATTCGGTGGCGTTGGGTTGTAGATTGTAGACGCCTTTTGTCTGCTTGCATAAGTGTTACGGATACTGTGGCGTTGCGTAGCAGCTTTTAAATAGAGTTATTCGCTGCTTCGTACAGGTAGACTGTCGTGCACTACTTGTATGATTTATGCGGGTAGATTGTAGTGCACAAACTAATCTCCTGCTTTGGATTTGCAGATACTTGTAGATAGCTTATTGTATACGTGATGAGTTTCCCACTGTAACTTGTAAGCACTTACACTTGATATAATCACTTTGTATTTTGCTTGTGGACAATAGATTGGGTGTACTACGAGTCTTCTGCAGTAGCTCTTGGACACTTGCATTTGTTGTAGTCCTTTACTATTTGTTTGTAGATAGTATGCAATGTTTATAGTGGCGCTCCAACATGTCACAGTTTAGCTCACAATTCTTGTTCCTTATCATTCATGTTCTGACTCCAAGCTTCTTATGCTTATTAACGTTCAATCAAATAATACAGAGCTTTAATCATCATTTGCATTCCAATCAATGTGGTGGTCTATTGATATCTCACTTGTTGCATGTCTCTTTCAAACATGCCATTGCCTCCACCATAAGTTTCTTGCATATTTTTATAGGATTTTGATTAATGTTATTGCAAGTCTTTGATCCTCAATTACAAGAAGAATGGTTGTATTACAAGTTCATTTGTTCATCAGCGTTTGCTTGAGTGCACTGAAGGCTTGTTCATCATAAGTCATTTTGCTTGATTGTTGATACCTATTTTTCAATGCTCTCTCCAAGTTCATTTAGCATTTGCTATTTGGTTGTATTTTTATTTGATTCTTGCTTGCACGTTGTCCATGCTTGGATACTTTCCTTCACAATTTCCTTGCTATATATTGAGGTTTGTTCCAAAATTCTCCGCAAATCCATTTGGCACTTGCTTTAAACTTGAAATGATCCTTTCTAATCTTTATAAAAAGCTTAGTGATCTGATTCAAATTCAAGTCGTATTATAGTTCAAATTATAAGTCCACATCAAAGTCCCTTGCGGTCCATGTCTTGTTCAAGTTTGATCTCCACAAGTTTTGAGTTCAATGTCAAAGTTCACCTTGCAAGTTCAAGTTCATATAGGTCGATTTGATTCAAGTCAACAAATCTCAAATTGTTCCAAGTCCTTGTCTTATTTCAGACAAAATTTCTGCAGCCTCCCGGCGTCTCCCCTGTTTAGGAGAAAAACTAAGAGGCCGCCTACCTGCCACGTCAACAAAGACGTGTACGGTTGGTGTTGGTGAGGCACTGCGGCGGTTGTATTTTATTTTTCTCCCACCATGCGCAACAAAGGCGTGCATGGGGTTTTAAATAGCATTTTATTGAAAAAAAGGGCAGCTTGCTTTCCTCCCGCTCGGGGGTACTTATGAGTGACCCCGCTTCGCCGTAAGTGCCGCACTGGGGTCCCATCCCACCATGCGCAACAAAGGCGTGCATGGGGCGGTTTTCCGGTCCACCACGAACATTGAAGTAGGGCTTTGAGTTTAAGGTGATTACTCGCCCCGTCGTAGGCGTCGGACCGGGGTCCCATCCCACCACGCGCAACAAAGGCGTGCATGGGCGATTTTTCGGTCCGCCGCTAACTTCGAGAGCGAGAATATAAGTTTCAGAAAAATTCGTACCTTCGCGGGGTTGTAGATGTTAGCACGTGAACTGAGGGAGAGAGAGGTCTCTCTTTTTTTTCATAAAAAAATTAACTATAACTAATTATACTTAATAATAATTAATTATTAATTATAATTAAACTAATTAATTACAATTAATTGAAATTAATCATAATTAGTAATTAATTAATAATTAAGTATGAATAATCATAAGTAATTATTAATTAAGATTAAAAATTAATTAAATATAATTAATTAATTTAATCATAATTAGTAATTGATTATAATTATTTATAATTAATTAATAATAATTAATTATAAATAATCATATATAATTACTCTCTTAATATTAAAAGTAATTAAATATAATTAATTAAACTTAATCAGAATTACTAATTAATTATAATTATTGATAATTAATAATGCTTAATTATAAATAATCATAGTTAATCAAACATGATCAATTAAGACTAATGATTAGAGCAAAATTTGATAGGATTTACACAGATTTTGAGCAAGATTTAAGTTAAATCTTTTGATCGTTCCGTAAATCTCAGTGGAATGAATCCTCTATTTCCTCCTTTTGGCCGCAAATCCGAGCTTATCAAGCCCTGTGGTTCGGAGGATTTACGGGACTTGGATGAAGGAGAGGTCGAAAGGAAGGAAGCTACCTTCACGGCAAGAGCTCCCGTAATGGCTCCTGATCATAATGTCGTGAGGTCCGATCCGACGGGAGTGGAGCGTCCTCGGGTAGAAGAAAAATGGGCGGCTCGGGTAGGTGGAGTTTCGGCTAGGTCAAGGTAGGGGAAGTCCCTCTCTCTCTCTCTCTCTCTGACTGGGTTGGACAAGCAAGAGGGGAAGCAGGGAGCAGCGACGGGCTTGGTGAGGTTCGGAAGAGGCAGAGGGCTATGGGAGCTTAGCGACGGGCTTGGTGAGGTTCGGAAGAGGCAGAGGGCTATGGGAGCTTTGGAGTCGGCTGAGATGTGGAGGTTTGAAGATTTTATCGGAGAAGGGAGGAGGAGATTTCGGAACTTGCGGCTGGATGGGGATCGAGCAGAGAACCAGGGATCGGGAAAATGGAACTTTGGCTTCGGGTGTGAGTGAGAGAGCTTGAGGCCTTTCTCTCATCCCCTTTTAACGACGCAAAGGGGAGGAGTTGAGGCAGATCGTGTGTGATACAACTGCAGCAGCGCCGTTTGCCGACTGGCGACGCGATACTGAGCAGATATCTAAATTTTGGGCAGGATTTGTGCATGGCTTCTAGTATGGGCGGCAACAGGTAATGATTTAAAACAAAAAATTTTATTTTATTTTGTCTTTTCCTCTTTGGCTGCATAAAATAGGTCAACATATTCTTTTTCTCCACGTGATTAAGTTTTCTCACCGAAATGAGAAATAAGTAGATCTGACTTTATGATTAGTTTTAGATCCTTCCCGATCAACATCAATGAAGATTCTTTTACTAGGTTCTTTCCCTTTCTTAAAGAACAACCCTTTCCTAGGTGTCTTTTTAAGATATGTGAGTATCTTATACACAAAATCAAGGTCCCTCAGTCATGCACACAACACTCCCAGAATGCTCATCTTTCTCCTTTTCTACTCCTACCCCAGACTTGTAATGAGAAAAAATAAATAATACAGAAAAAAAAAAGAAAGCAAGGCAGTGATGGTGGGTACATGACGGAAAGGCATTGACTAGACTTAAGTGAAATCAGTAAGAAGTTGGATTTAAATTCTGTAGGTATTAAAGTTGTCATTTCTGGCTATTCGGCATGGTTTAGAAATTAAACTTGTTGTATCTTAAATTCTTCTCTCAAATTTCCTAGTTAACTGTCAATCAAGAAATCTTTTCCTCTCTCTACATCTCTCTATTTTATTCTCTCTCTCTCTCTCTTACGGTGTGTGTATGTATATATAATCTAAAAAAAAGGAAAAATAGTGGAATAAAAGTTAAAAAGAATAAAAGTGAAATTAGAAAAAAGGAAATTAAAAAAAAAGAAACGAATTAAAAGAAAGAAAGTAATAAATAACTTTGAAGAAAAATTGTGTTTTCAACTCGCTGCAATCTCATTGTCTTACATTATTATTGTTGCCACGTGTGTAAGGAATACTACTATCTCAAAATCAAGTACCTGTGCAGGTTTTGTTTTAATGTGTTTGGTGTCAAAAAATAAGTTATCTTCTGTGGTGCTTGAACATGAGTAGGAAATTTTATAATTTTTGCTCGTGCAGGTGCCAAAGTCAAGCGCAGAATAATTAAAGAACCCCCGCCCCACCCCACCTTTGGTGTCACATGACTGTGATCATTCAAGCCTTACTAAGCATATTGGGAAGGATGAGCACTCCGAAGGATAGCTCCAATGCGAGAAAGATATCCAGAGCTGCCAGAATTTAGATTGAATATATTTATAAGGAACATGATACTAATAACTCATTGAATAAGAAAATACAACCAAAATAAAAGAACAAAAGTCACGAAAGAAGAGCATTATATTGAAAATGAATTTATTTGGGACTTGTAATGAATTCAATGGCTTGCCGACACGAAGAGAACTCCCCCTTCGTTCCTACAACTCTGTTTGAGAATTGAACATCAAAATTTTGTGAATTGAGCATAAAAAATATAAACATTAGCAAAGCAACCACCTCCTATTTATATGAAGGAAATTATCTTTGTTGAGAAAAATCATGACGAGAGATGAAGATCAACTTAAGTTGTCTTTGATACTTTTTTTTTTAAATATTGAAAAAGAATATTGCATACTTTTTCTTATTCTAATATGTTGAAGAGAAACAATATTTAGATGAGTGGCATAGCTCATTCGAGGGGAAAAAAATAGGATGTTAATTAACCTATTTAATCACAATAATTCAGCATTCAAAAAAGATATACATTATACATGTGGGAATCGTAGTTGGTGGATTGAATTTGAAAAGGCGAAATAGTGGTGGATTTCCAAGGTGTTTAATCGCATGGTTGTCAACATTTGCATTCCACGGATGAGGTGTAAAAGCTATAGATTGCGAAGGTTGCGATGGACGTGCAAGTGCTGTATATTTGCCAAAATAGTGCTGTGGAATTGTGTGCAAAATTTGATGTGCAATTTTCACGATTTCCATTGTAACTTTGATATGTTGCCTTTTCTTTACATATAATGGTGATCATTTGATATTTATGGTATGCAAAATGTGCCAGAGAAAAGTCCTCGTTTAAAAAAATAAATTTGTTACTTTAGTTATTGCAAATTTATTGTTTTCTTTAAAAAAACAATATCATTCCATTTAAGGATTTATGCACCTATTTGTTTTATAGGTACGTAACATGAAGTTTGCCAAGGATGTTAGGAAGCAATTATCTCTGATAATGAAGAAGATATCTAAAGGTTAGAGCCATTCATTGCATGGTTTTCTGTTTCAACCAAAAAAAAAAAAGGAAAAAAGTTCAGTTCAGAATTTCTTAAATAAAGCTATATTTTCTCCATTTATTGTTTTTACATTTTTTGGCAATAATTTTTAGTTGTGTAATAATTGTAACAGCTAATCTGTCATATGAGGTTTGTGGTCATTTAGCTTCTCATTATAACTGTCAGGGTTTTCTCACTTGATATCAAATATTACCTTCTAACATGTGCGCCGGTTTAACTGTTTTTTGAAATTAAATTAATGTTCTAATAAAGACATTTTTATGTTTCAAGCTTTTCTATACTTTTCTTCCTCACATCATGCTTATGTACTTTTCTCGTAGTGTATTATTTTTATCATTAAGGGTCTATTTGGCAGTTTGAATAAGGAATGCAGTGTAAAGGGAATATTGTATAAAAGAAATACTTAAGAATTGTTTGGATTGTTGGAGAATTTTTGTATCCTCAAACGGATTGGATATTTTGTCATCGCGTACGGCATAAGAACATGATATATTACCCCGAAGGGTAAAAATATCATTTCCTTATGGATTCAATGATAAAATTTATAATTATTAACAGAGATTCCCCCACTCGATGTTTGGTCGAATGTGATTTATTTTATTTCTGGGATATAGACGTCTTATTGGGGTAAGACCCTATGGTTAATTACATCCCAAGTTTTGGCTTGGGAAAACTTTTGATTAAACTAGTGGTTTTGCTTTCTTTTTGAAGTCATTTAAACATTAGCTAAAATTTGATTTTTTGAAATCTAAAAAAGTCTTGTTTAAAGGTTCTGGCCCTTTAGGAATTTCAAGGAAGAGGTGATCAACTAGGAATTAGATTTTGGAATGAGAGCTAGAGGAGGTGAAGTAGGAGTACTTGATTCTGAGGGACACTCAGAGGTGCTCAAACTATCCTATGTTGGGCTTTATGTTTTTTAATCTAATTTTGGTTTAAGTTGATATTTTAATTAAAAAGTTGGGGCTTATATTCCAACAATATGTGTTGGAGAAATTGCCTAAAAGGTGAGGGCTTATAGGGTGATTTAGAATCAACCCATGCCTCAGACCCTAAAACTAAGGTGAGGACTACCGATAGGTAGTGCCTCGAACCTAAATCTAACGAGTGCAATGGGGCTTGCAAACTACACCTCATAAGAGGCATAGCCTGCCTGATCTCTGGATTTACTGTCCTGCCTGGAAGGGACTACCAGCTAGACCCACCTAGTCGCTTTTAAAACCATGTGTCTTGGTCTCAATGCAAATGTAGAGTGGATGGTTGTTTTTATTTAGAAAGTAGGGCTTATAACTTGGCTTTGAGGCTAAGATGCCTAATTATGTGGGTATGCATATGCTGACTCAAGGAAAATAGATTTTTGTTATCTAATCTTTAAATGAGGGCTTTCTATATACAACACATTTGGGCTATGCTTAATTGTTTTAATTTTTTTAGAAAACTTAGCTCCTTGAAGGGAGCCATGCAAGACTTTCTTATTTGTTAGAAAATCATGAAGCCTAAATCAATTTTTATATTGATTATATTTTAATAGTATAAATCTTATTTTGTCCTAAGAGCCTACCGTATCAAAAGTCCAAGTCACACCCAAGCAAAAGCAAAGAAAGAAATCTTGAAAAAAGATGCATTTCTATTGTACAAACAGGTAAACAATCAAATATGCTTTTATTTATAAATAATGTTCAGGGAATATAAATAGAGTTCGAGTTATTACAAATAGGTTTGACAGGTGAGTTGCATGTCATTATACAACCCAGCCAAAATTACAAACTCTACTTGTGGGGGATTCTTCGGGCTCTTGACTTTTGAATGGACATTGGGCTTCACCTTTGATAGGTACATCCTTCTAGTCCACTTCATTCTTTTGCTCCAAACCCCCACAAGTTTGATACAATTACCATTCTATCAAATACACGTTCGAAAAGAAAAGAGACTCAAACCTGCCGTGGATTAGAAACAATTTATATAATAAAGCATCACATTAAGAATTTTGTTTAGCACTTAGAGTGTCAACATGCTTCTACCCTATTGGCCATATCTTTGGGGGGTTTTAAGCAGCACCTATTGTTAAACCCGCAAAAATATCACTTTAGACCTCGCATGCTTTTCAAAGCGCTGCGACGAGTTTTAAGTGAAAAACTCGAGGTTGTCGGATTTCGACACAATAAATTTAGTAAAATAGAGCACAAAATTATGATCGTTTAATGTATAGAACCTATGTTTAATTATGTATATTTTGAGAATTATAAAATTTGGAAGTTTCTAAATGCCAATTCTACCCCTAAGTGTTTCTTAAGCCAAATCTATTTAAGTAAGGGCATATGAGTCTTTTGGCATATCCCCTTTCTCCCTAAATGAACCAACCGAGCCCTCCCCTTTCATTTTCACGCATGGTTTGGCCAAAACTTGGAGAGGGCGGACGGTAGAGGCGACGGGCAAGGGAGACAGCTGGCTCCAGAGGCTTTTTTTCCGGCGAAAGACTTGGGGGAAATTGAAGAGGAAGTCAAGGGAAGTAAAAGGTATGTAATAAAACTATGATTTTCCATCTCTTTCTCAAGATTTTTGGATGAGAAGATTTCTAGGATTTGAGAAAACTTTGATTTTCTTTAAGAATTTTAATGAGGGATTGTTATTGAATGATTATGAGATATTTTTATGCTAAGAATGTGGTTTTTCTTTATAAGTTTTGAGTTGGAGAAATTTAGGGTTTTACTTAAAATGGATTTTTCTTTGGAAGTGTCTTCTTAAGAATAGTTCCTAATGCCATAGGAAAACTTCTAATTTAAGAATATTGTAAGAATGATGAAAATTTTGAGTTTTGAAATTTAGGATTTTTCCCTAATTAAGAAAATTTTGATCCCTATGATTTTTATTGGTTTTTGGGAGGATTTTAAAGACTAATTTATGGTTTTTACATGGAATATAAGATTTTCTAATTTTTTATTTAATTTATTCCGAAAATTGAATATATTTTATTTATGTTGTGAGTGTAGGGAAAGGTGTTGCATGCTTAAAACCTAAGGATTTGGACTAAACCTTAATTTAGAGAGAATGTGAGTTAGACATATCATGAAATGGTGGGGAAGAGTTAAATTGAAACATAGACATGACATTAGGAAAAACCTTTTATTACCTTAGATTAAGGATTTAGAATATTGTGTAGGGACTAGTTATACATTTTTGTATGTCTCTTCTTGATTTTAACCGTGTAGAAGAAAAGGATTTGACCGGACAAATGAAAGAGGTGCACGAATTGAGGTAGGTGGAATGGACATTCTTCTAAATTTAAAAAACTCTTCTTTCATGCAATTACATAGAAATGACAATTTCTTTTATGCTCATTATGACATTCTTATGACTCATGTTCCTTTGTAAGTTCATGGACACTTGAAGCAAATGTAAAAGTTTCATTTTATGCAAATGTACAACTCATGAATGATTTCCATGCTCTTTTCTTTACTTGTACTACACATGTTTTTCTCCTTACATGCAAATGAACACATGGGCATAGAAAGCATACACATCCCTATGGAATATACACTTGATTAGTTTATGAATAGTTTTCATAAAGCATCTTATGAATATGAAAGTATTAAGTGTATGTGCATGTTGACGCGGAAGTATCACATGGTAAAGGATGCTCCTTTGAGCAATGATAAAGGAGGCTCTTATGAGCCATAGTGAATGATGGTTCTTATGAACCAATGGTAAAGGAATGACCAATTTTATATACCTGATCAATATAAGTGATACTTCCGAGATGGGTGTTATATTTACATATTAAGTTATTATGAACATTTCATATTTATGTATATGTATTTATACTATCATTTTAGGCATAATGTTTTAAAAGAAAAAGAATGGAAATGTTATGAAAGGAAAAAACACTTGAAGGTTGAGGTAAAGGTATGCATCTCCTCAAAACAAAAGTTGCTATATGTTGATGATTTCTTTGTTAAAATACCTAAACATGATATAATTTTCTTCTTTTGACTCTAAATTTAATTGAATTCCATTTGCACCTATTGAGTTGTGACTCACCCATGTTGTGGGATACCTTTCAGGAGGATCTAGTAGAGGATAGATGGCGGATAGGCCTCCCCTCACGTACTGTCATAGGGAGATGACGGGTGACAGGTTTTGTTTTGTTATTTTGATGTTTTGAATAGAAGATTTAGAGATGATATGTAAGAAAATGACTTTTGGAAACCCTTTTATTTTTTTTAAACTTAATGTTGAATTCTTACATTGGTGTTTTGAATAGAAGAAATGAAAAGTTTTAATTTGAAGACTCATTAGTGGCTCTTTCATTATGTTTGGTTCATGTTTGAAGATTTGATAATTGTGTATTGTGAAGTTTTTTAGTAATTTCGACTGTCCGATTTTCATTCCCACCTCGCACTTGCGAGCTAACCTGGCCAGGTCGTGGCACCTGTCATGCAAGCAGTTTATTATTTATGAGCGGCTCCCTTTTTAGATATGGCCACCTGCAAGAAGAACATGCATATTTCTACACTATCCACTTAAGGAAAAGTGCCCACAACGCAGACAATCCAATAGACAATCACTCCACAACATCAAACACATGCGCAGAAAAGAAAAATCCTAATCCTAGCATGCATAAGAGGTTGTGCACCTAAGTGTGTGAGGCTTGTGTAGCATGTCACACTAAGGGTGTTTAGTTTTATTTTGGAAAGAAGATGTTTAATCTTTATCCAATGGTGATTTCACTTTAAGTTGTTTGTGACTTAAAGATTTTATTTGATTTTTAAATGTTTCATATTTAGGAGGGTTATGAAGAACCCATAAAATAACCACTGCTTGCTTTTGGGTTAGCCTGTTACATATGAATCTTAAGGCACAATGATGTTGGCATCCTGCCTTTTGAGGGAGATGGTTGATCGTTGCATCAAAAGGAACCTAAGTAAATTTTAGGTGTTTTTGGAGTTCTCTTAGTGTTTGGA